CAACTTTTGCCAATTTCATCGATTGAGGCACCACCCCTGATTGAAAAGACGGCTTATAAGACTCCGGACAGTGACCCAATTCAAACGGAGAGTGGCCGCAGCCAGGTCGCTGACGAAATGCCCTTTGAACGCCAGTTGGCTGAATATCGTGATAAACAAAAGTAATCGTTTAGGTCAATACCTAATAATTCTAATCATGATGATAGTCCAAAAGAGATAAGGGTCATATTCTACTTGTCGGAGACTCGATGATTAGACGTATTAGACCCTCTAAACTTTCAAAGCGAACAACAGTGAAATGTAAAACACTTTCTGGTGCCAAAATAGAGGACGCGTATGAAGTTATTGATGGTCTGGCAAGGCAATTTAAGCCCGAGGAAGTTATTGTTCATCTCGGCTCTAATAACCTAAACAATGATGATGAAGACGAAATTGTTGCGAAGCTGTCGTCGCTTTGTCACGAAATTGTGACACAGACTGATGTCAAATCGATGACAATATCAACCATAATCCACCGCCGAGATGAATCCCCACTAGATGGCGCCTTTGTGGACAGAGTGAACGCCCACATAAAACTTCTGGCCAATGAGCGTGGATGGGCGATTATTGACAACGATGAGACCCGCCCCGATGTTCATCTCTCTATAGATGGCGTTCATTTGAATAGAAACGGGGTCACTATGTTTGCGCAGAATATAATACGACATCTTCGGCCAGATACTTATCGCAGTCCACAGCATTCTTTTCAGAATCGTCAAACAACCAATCACCGGTGGAAACCGAGAGGAGCAGTGTTTCCACGCGACTGGATGGACGACTTGGAGACTCGGAGACCACTTAAAAGTAAACGTATGCGTAGGAATCCTTGTCCATGGGTTTCTGGTGACACCATTCAATTGATGAATACTCGTGATCACTTTCATAAGAAAGCTCTACAAACCAAAAGTGATTTAATGTGGAATAGATACAAACATTACAGAAATTTAGTCAATAGGACTCTCTTCTGCAAGAGAATAAGGGTAATCCTGGTGCCCTATGGAAAACATTAAAGAGTTTAACAAATGCAAACGTGTCTGAAAAGATAACGTTACAAGTCTCGGGAAATGAAATAACTGATTCAGAAGAAGTATCAAATATTTTCAGTAATTATTTTAGTAGTGCTGTGAAAAGTTTAACAGACAATTTCGGAGCATCAGGTGATGAAGTGATAACTACAAAATGCAGTACAGCCGAAGATAATCGGTCGGAACCCACAGGATTGTTTGATCTGCCAGTCATTGGTAGCGAGTTTGTAAAGAAAGAAATTAAGGGTTTCCCGATAACCAAGGCCATAGGGAATGATGGACTAAGTGTCAAGATTTTGAAACATGTTTGTAACATTAACATTGTCATAGATACTCTGACGTATTTATACAATCTGTCACTGACAACGGGTGTAGTTCCTGCTGCATGGAAAATAGCAAGAATACAACCCGTCTTTAAGAGTGGAGATAAATTTCAAGTATGTAATTATAGGCCGATAGCCATTCTCCCTGTCTTATCCAAAATAATAGAAAAGGCAGTGAATAAGAATCTCCTTGAATATCTGTCAGAAAAACGACTACATAACCCCAAACAGTTCGGTTTTCGACCTAATCATTCATGTGAGACCGCCCTAATCTGTATGGTAGATGAATTAGCAATGAATGTTGATAAAGGGTACGTGAATGGATTCGCACTTATAGACTTACGCAAAGCGTTCGACATGGTAGATTACCGTATTCTCATAAGTAAATTAGCTAAATACGGTTGTTCTGATAAATGTCTCACTTGGTTTAGGTCCTATCTTAATGACAGAAAGCAATATGTTTCAATGCAAATTAAAAAGTCAAACATCATGAATGTCAACACAGGAGTGGCTCGGGGTTTAATCATTGGGCCCCTCCTGTTTACAGTCATGATAAACGATCTTCCCACGCATATAGGTAAAGGGAATGTTTATATGTACGCAGATGACACGACAATATCCGTTTATGGAAACAGTCCAACAGATATAGAAATCCAGCTTAACAATGTAATGCAAGAAGTAAATGAATGGGTTGACAGAAACAAGTTGATCCCCAATCCAGAGAAGACCAAAGTTATGCTAATAGGCTCAAGGCAAAAATTACATCGATTTTCAAATCTAAAGTTGCATGTTACATTAAAGGGTAAATCTGTTGAATGTGTTGATGAATCTAGGTGTTTAGGTGTAACCATAGACTCTAGCCTTGACTTTAAGTTACATACTGAAAAGGTGTCTTTAAAGGTGAAACAAAAACTAGATGTAATAAGAAGATTAAAAATATATTTTTCTACTAAACAATTATCTGATATATATTGGGGGTACATTATACCCCATGTTCTTTACTGTTGTAATGTATGGTCGCGCAGAAGTGTCGGGAATTTCAATACCTTAAACAAACTACACAAAAGAGCTGCCTACATAGTATCAAATAAGTCATGGGATATACCGTCCCTTAATGTATTACAGTCACTATGCTGGCCAACTCTTGATAAATTGTTCTGGAAAACAATGTGCTGTTTAATGTATAAATGTGTAAATAGAATAACACCCGGAATCGTTCATGACAGATTTATACTCGTCGACGATGTTTCAAAACGAATAACTCGCAACACAGATAAGAAAATGTTGCGATTGCCAAAATGTAAAACAGAATTTTACAGCAAGTCATTCATTTATTCAGGGAGTGAAAATTGGAATGATCTTCCACTTGAACTTAAAGAAGCACAGAGCCTAGCAGTCTTTAAGAGAGCTCTAAAAGAAAATCTTACATGATAAGGTGTTCTTCTGCATAGTTGATTTTTATCTTGACTTCATTTTCATTTTTTACTTGACTCCATTTTACAATGCTGATAATTATCATTAATTCTAAACTGTTGTTCTATTGTGCAATATTATGTTCAGTTAATGTATTCCTATGTTTTGGTTTAATTTATTTTCATAGTTGATTTTATCATTATCTATTCAGTTTTTGAAATGTTACTTTACTCCATTATCATATAATGTTTAATTTATTTTTCATAGTTGATTTTATCATTATCTATTCAGTTTTCGCCATGTTATTTGACTCCATTATCATACAATGCTTATAATTATCATTAATGAATTGTTGTTCTTTTGTGTAATATTATATTCAGTTAATGTATTCCCATGTTTTTGTTTAACTTATTTTCATAGTTGATTTTATCATTATCTATTATGATTCAGTTTTGTCACGTTACTTGACTCCATTACCATATAATGCCTATAATTATCATTAATGAATTGTTTTTCTTTTGTGTAATAATGAATTCCCATGTTTTTGTTTAATTTATTTTGTAGTTGATTTTTATTATTATCTAAACCATGCATATATTGTGTTAAATGTTTAATAATCCGATATTGTACAGTTCTAATTGTAATTTATGTAATTTTTTAATGTGCTGTTTTTATAATCAGGGCTCTGTGGAAGACCAGGTTTTTATTTTTGTATACTGAACAGACTACCCTGAATAAAGAAGTGAAATAAATAAATAAATAAATAAATAATAGATTGGAAATTGCACGCATATCGTTGTGCTACGATTGCAGGTCTAGTTTTACTTCATGTCCTGATCTTTCTTGTTTCTTCCTGGCCCTCTCAATCTTATTTTTGTCGGTGAATTGCATGTAAACACTCCATGGTAGCTGCCAGTGTATGCAAACAAAGACTCATCGTTTTGGGACTGTGATTGGCCAATTGCACTCTGGGCTCTAAGACCCCAGCTGTGATTGGTCAATTAAGGAACAGATATGACATCTTCACTGCGAAAAAGTTGTCTGCTACATACAGTGATTTTTGCAACTTTATATCAAAATTGTGAAAAAAGCTCAAATTTGGAGATGGGAGCATTTCACATTTTAGATATATGTCCATTGATCATTTAGGAAAAAATAAAGTACTTCCCAGGTGGAGACCATGGAACTGAATTTTGAGGCTTGGCCCATGGTCTATCTCTATCAAGACGAATACCGATTACATCTTCTTAAATGTTATGTAAACATTATTCACTTATGTACCTACGGAACATCGTATGATATACAGGGGGAAGTATTCTTTCCAAGAGGGGAGACAAAAAAGGTATTCATGAAGCACCTCAATCATTTGGGCAGTGATTATTCCAGAATACACAAAGTGGGACTTCTCTCCATGTTTTAAATACCTGTGCATATTTGGGGTTAATTGTCCGAGTTCTATCTCTGAAGTGGTATATTGCTTCCAGAATCCAGACAGATTCTCATTGAATGAAACATTGAAACTACACGTACTACCCGTCTTCGCCACATTTGCATTTATCATCATTTTTTGGTTAAAAGTCTGATAAGAGCTCTCATATTCAGCTGACTACTTGAAGGGATAGTTGAGTTCTGTTTTCAGATCACAAATGCCTTCAAAGTGCATGGTTATTGCTTTTATTCATATCTATGATATTTCTAGTGCCCTTTTAGAACCTAAAATTGCTACGAAGGTAATTTTAGACCAAAAAATGTGTGAAAGTTAGCCAATACGAGCATACCAATTCAGCTTCATTTTATTAAAAACACGGTGACCTTTAATTAATTATTTAATTAAAATAACAATACATGGGCCAGCTGGTTGTGCGTAATATAAGCAACACGAAAATGCCAACAAAAAAGCTAACATCGGCATTGGCTGAAATACGACATAAAAGACTTTATTTTGTTTTTCAACATGTTTTTTCAAATTTTTCAAAATGCCTAATATTTGTGGTGGTACACAAGTATTGGAAATCGTTATATTTCAGCCGTCTCTGAACCGATTTTGATCAAACAAAGATAATTTTGTTCTTTATGTTCTTTCAAATTTGACACTTAGTTTTTCGTTATCTCACAAAAAATTATTTTGTGTAGCGTCCTCTGCAACAGAACTCAACTATCCAAGTATCAAAAATATATTCGATGACCATTCTCGTTTCAGGTAATGTACATGCTACCGATCAGGTTCCTGACAACCAAGTATGGACCCCTGCAACAGCAACATTCTTCTATGGCCAGCCAAAAGCTAACATCAGCTGCAAATTTCTCGGGACTCCATACGGTGTCTACTGGATGAAAGGTATTTACCAGTGTACATGGAGGGGCGTTGGCGAAGAGAGGGTTTTTGGGGTGTTCAAACACCCCCTCCCCCCCCCCCCTGGCAAAAGGGGTTGTTTTTGAATTTTAAAGACTCCCTTTATCTGTGTTTTATCTATGCCCCCCCCCCCACTCCTGGCAACAACAACAGAAAGTAAACAATTTTGTGTTGTTTTGCTCAAGGGGAGGGGGGTGTGGATGTTGTGGGGAAAAAAGTAGTGTTCACTCCCCTTCAACAAGTGAACCAAAGTAACATTCGTCGCAAACCCAAGCATGTTAAGAATGAATTCGATATTTACATCTAAATTCCTTTATTCCAGGGAGTACCCCAGCTACTTACACGCTTCTATCTCGCATACAAGGAAAAGTATCCGGACCAAGGTTTGACGATGGGTCGCTTACTATTACTGATGACTACTCTCTCGTCTTTAATAACGTTCAAGCTGGTGATGAAGGCAATTACATATGCAGAGTTTCAAATCATAACGGCTTTGTGATCGAGAATAACACTGACGTCAGGGTTTTAGGTGAGTTAACATTAACAATAACGTTATTTCAGGATATCAGATCCAGAATATATCAGCTATAATAGATGAATTTCAACAACTAGCTCTGGTTAATGACATGCATGTCACAAACTGATCTGTTTAATGTTACAACGGAAATAACCTGGTCGTTTTTTCCATTTAGGGAAAATGCATTTTGATGCTATATTTCTTTATATTTCTATTGTATTTCCTAGAGAACTAGATTATTGTTCATCTATTTTCAGATGGAACTATGGAAAATAGTTTTTAAAAAAACATACTTTCAGCGGTGTTTTTTAAGAATATGCCGGAACATAAGTGTTATATGGCGCAATAGCTCATTGGTAGAGCAGTGGACTCGTTACCGTGAGGTCCCGGGTCCGAAACCATGTCGATACGCTAGGACAGTCAGGTAAAACAATCAAACCATCAAACAGTCGATTTGATTGTTTTACCTGACTGTCCTAGCGTATCGACATGTAAAACAATCAAACCATCAAACAGTCGATTTGGGTGTTTATTTATTGTTTCTTTGATTACTAAAAATCATGAGCAGACACATGCAACAGCTATTGCTAACTTTACCCATCACTTACCAAACATTAATTACCAACTGACTAATGTACTTTTAGATGCATTTTTTGTCGTTGTTCTGACTCTGAAAAGGGCAACTTCGCATTTGCATCAATTTTGTATTAATCATGTATGCGGTAGATTTAGAACATCGTTACCTTATACACATAAGTATACAAATATGCGTTAATTTCCGATTGACACAATGCTACATTATGTCAACAGGGATTTCGATTGCTTTGCTATTGAAAAACAAGGTTACTAAAATTAGAAATTGCCAACTAACAAAGGATCGAGTAAAATCTTTCCCTTCTTGTACGTGTAAATCCGGCTCAAATGAGCATTTTACAGAACCAAGCGTTATAAGATGGGCCGGGTATACGGTCAATCTTCAGTGTGCTTTCAGAGGCACCCCTGAACAAGTCCTCTGGAACAGAGTCCAAGGTCCAAGCGTCGAAACTGTCCTGAGATACACGTCAGGTGGCTACGAGGTGCTTGGAGACAGGAGATATAGTTGGAGCGATAACTACGGACTGATCATAAGGGATCTACGGGTCTTGGACGAAGGGAACTTTACATGTATGGTTTCCAAGACGGGTGGAAGTAAGATGCAAACCGCGACAGTCCTGACCGTACAAGGTGAGATATATATCATTCAACAGGAGGGGGGGGAAATCAAAAATCGAATAGCCTTGTATGTCATCTTCTGAAATGTGCGATTATGACAATGGCATCGTACATAATCCGGAGATGACTGTTGTAGGCAATACAAAAACAGTATTGACATAGTCCTTATGTAGATTTCTGGAAAGTATTTCCAATCACCCCACCCACAGTCAATACAATATGCTGGTGTTTATAACATGGACAAATCTGTGTAATTAGTTATATTTACTCCGATGTAAGAAGATAAGTATGTCGATAAGATAAATTATGTTGGGATTCCAGTTACATTCGTACACTGCGCCGATAAATTGCACATGTGCACTTCTCAACAAAAAGTCTGTATGCGCAAATGTCGATGTTTTTATGCGTTTTTCATTAGTACAAATGGTAGACAAAACAAATCGACGACTTTTAAAGATAGTGTTTGGGATGAGTAAATGGGCCTAAAGTGGGTTAATAAACTCAAGAGGAATACGGAGGAATGAATTTCCGGAAAAAAATCATACTTCCCTATTATGTAGGATTAATGTCGACCATGAGCGATTTATGGTAAATGACCTGAAAACTATACGTTGATGAGTACGATGGGGTACGATCCGGACACTTAGCAAACATAAAAATCTCTTGTTTCTAACATGTAGGTTTTGTAATTTTTTTGATGAAATATTCCTTGTAAACTTCTTCAAGTTGCTGTTTGAAGTCAACTGTCCGAATACCCAACTTGTATGGAGACCATGGGCACCAATCCTTATGTAATACCTATTGTTGAGGGGGTGGGTAATCTATTCACCCCCCCCCCCTGAACAAAAGATATTACGTAAGAATTGACGCCCATGCTGGAGACACAACGCCTGGGTATATAATTCTGTGAATTAATTTCTCAACTTCCTTTTAACGTTTTATCATTGCACTCAGCTCGAGCAGAAAAGCCGTACATCCGAATCCCGCATTGTAAGTCTCGCCCCAAGGGAGCTTCAGATGGCACAACTCCTAAGCCTTGTCAGTACAATGTGGCTGAAGATAAGGATTCCTTTGAGCTGCAATGCTCGGTCATACGAGCCAAGCCACGTGTGGACATTCTCTGGCAGGAGGAGTCCAAGAACCTCACTGCGACACAGATGGTCACTCGGAGGAGTGATGGTGCCTTCGACGTGACAGCAACCATAAGCAGAAGGACAAATCAATCCGAGTTCCATTTCAGATGCATTGCTTCTGGTCTGGCTGTCAATGGAACCGCAGAACGTACTGTGATTGTTCAAATCATCAAACCTGTAAAAGGTAAATGTTGATTAACATATGACCGAAAAGATCGGACTTATTTTCCTACTTTATTTACTTTCATATGTAATGCAATAGTAATGTTTAAAACAACCCTTTGATTTTTAATATCAAATATATTAATGGAATTAGTATGTGTACCTTTTTATATCATATGTTTTTGTGTGTTATGCTGTTGCAATTTGTAAAAATATTGAATTTAATTGCACTGTAAAAACGTGTGCAATTCAATTTGTGACTGCTAGTCATTTTTTGAAAACCTTTAATCTGATAATGGCATCGGTATCGGCGCTTCCCCCAGTCATAAACAGCAAAGGGTCTCTTAGTCGTAGGCCTATGGATGATAATGTTTATTCGCTTAAGGTCTCGGAACAGTTGCTTTAGACGTGGGCTAGGTTTTAATACAACACTGATACAATAAAGCACAATATCAAATCAGAGATATACCAGTAATATCATCTCTGATCAAATGGTCCATTACTTAAAACGTGGAAAGTAATCAAAAACAAATAAGCTTTAATACGGCCAATTTATGAAGTACATACCATAAGCTGAATAATATGCTGTACATGTGTTGTATTTGAAAACGGTAGAATATTGGGGTTACGTGATGTCAGATTGTTGCAAATTTATTATCTCATCAAGAAGTGCGTAATCCACTAGGTAGTTGTAGATATTCGCAAAATAGCATGATCTATCTCTTCGTTCTCCGAATTTTGAAATCATTTTTTCTAGCGCAGTGAACAATAAAAGATTGCAATTTATCTTGTTTTGCTGTCATTTATCTTTAGAATCTCTACCAGGTGGATATATCTTCCTTATTCTCCTTCTTTTTGTGGCTACTTCCGCTTTTCTGGTCCTTGTCGTTTTTAGAGTGTGGAAGTATCACAAGTTTCACACCCAACCAGGTCTTCTTTATGCTACGGTCACAAATGTTCGTACGAACGATTCGTTCGTACGAATCTCCCTGTTCCTACGAATTTCAGAGTTCGTAGAGATTCGCAGATGGTACATAGTTTCTTACGTCCTTCTTACGGAGTTCGTACGAACGCCGTTTAATTCGCAAGAACAACTCAAGACCTTCTTGAGAAACGAAGTGATTTTCGGTTATACAATGGCCCCAGAGTTCGTACGTTTTTCGTAAGAACGCCTTGTGTTCTTCTTACGTCAGACTTACGCCAATCTTATGAGTTTTGTTCTCGCAAGGTGTTCGTACGTTTAACTCACGGCATTCACAAGTCATTCGTAAGAAGATCTTACAAAAAAAAACCTATTGGGTCGGGTTGCAAAAAAAACGCTGCCGTATACTGTCGAAAATTCTATGACTGTTGAAAGTTTGATATTACACGATGACAGTATTACCAAGAAGACTACAACTGCAACTGCAACTCAATAAAATGTTTCTTAAACTTGCTGTTAGCATATCTGTTACTTCCTTTATTATAAAAGCAGTCATGTTAACCGAAGAAGTCAACAAGGTTTTGCTCTGTGGTGGCATCAAAGTCATAGGACTGCTTTTCCTTTCTTAGTTTCATTGCCGACAAACTGCCGTCTTGATGATTATCCCTCCTCCTCGTCGTCGTCATCTTCCACCGCCTCCCGGTCGCTTCCGATATGGCCATCATTCTTGATATCAAGCGCGCCGAAAGCAGTTTTGGATTGAGGTAGCAAAAATTCCAGGGGGCTCACCTTCCAGGGGCAGTGGCGTAATGAGCAAAATCGTTTGGAGGAGGGGGGGGGGCAGAAGGAAAATTTGCATCACTAGGCCTACATGTTACATGCTGGCCCCACGGAACATTTTTCAAAGTGGAGTATTAACGATCAGGTTAGAGTTTAGCGAGCGTAGCGTAAATTGGCGTGGGGTCAGGGGGCTTTGCACCGGCGGGGGTCAAGGGACTAGCCCTCGGAAGCTCATGGTTTTTAGGCATTAAATTGGGGTCAGATAAGCATATTTAGATACCTTATTTGTGTCACTGGCGGGTCACTAATTGTCGGGGGTTCCAGGGAGCAGAGCCCACGGAAGCTCAGGGGTTTTAGGTATTCAATTACGGTCAGATGAGCATCCAGGGGCCCACCTTAGGGCCCTTGGTGAGGTCCAGGGGGCAGAGCCCCTGGAAGCTCAAAGGTTTTGGGTATTAAAGTACGGTCAGATGACCATCCAGGGGGCTGTCTTAGAGCCCTTGTTGGGGTTCAGGGGCCAGAGCCCCTGGAAGCTAAAAGATTTTCGGCATCTAATTACGGTCAGATGAGCATATTTTGATATCTCATTTGTGACATTTCTTTCCTTTCCTCTTTTTTTTACAAAATTGAGGGGGGCTCGAGCCCCGAGCCCCGCCGTTCTGCAGGCCCTGACATGAAGGCTTCTAAATAAGCATATTTTTAAGCCTAGCTGTTACTTTGGGAATTAGTAGTTTACAAACAAACGCATAAAAAGATATGATTTGCAAAAAAATTGAGAAAAAATACCGGAAAATCATGTCATTTCAGCAACGTTTGTAAATCACTGGTATCGAATTAGAAATACTCCCCGCCCATAAGTACTCCAGTGTTCAGGGGCTCATGTCTTATCACCACTACAATAAAAATAAAAAAACACTTTCCCATCCTCTTACAATATTTCCACGATATGCGCAAATCGCATATATTATAAAAACCTCCATTGATAGAGCAAGCGGAATGTATACGACATTTAATCCCTATTAATTTTTCTTTTCTTTGAATCGAATATAATTGATAGGTGATTCAATTCAGATTTTGTTCTTTTGTATGTTCTTTTTGGTTAAAAAATGCAAATCATCTTTATTCCTTTACTGCTTTTTTAAAGGGGGGTTGGAGGGGGGCGAATGCCCCCCTGCCCCCCCCCCCCCTCCCCCTCCCCCTCCACTTCCGGCGCCTCTGCTTGATATTGTTGTTGCTGCTCTCCTCCTCTTTCTCCTTCCTCCTCATCTCTTTCCTTAAGTTTGTTTCCCTTCCCTCTCTTCCCATTAACAGATTTCCCCTTTGGTCCCATATTTCTTCAACAAGAGATGCACCCTCGACGAACACTATGAACAGAGTGAGGCTTTATAACCGTTAAAACTCAAAATTTGCATAAATTGTGTACGTACACCTTACGAGCACCTTACGAACGTCTAACGAACGCCAGGAGTCTTTCGTACGAAGACCATAAGAATCTCCGCTCGTAAGGCGTTCTTACGAACGCCGTAGGAGCCCTCTTTGAACAACTTGAGGCGTTCTTACGGTCATCGTAATAATTTGAAGCTTTTAGAATTGTCCCTCGACCCTAAGAAATGTACGTAGATCTTGCGTGGTTCTTACGATGTAATTACGGCGTTCGTACGGCCGCCTTACGAAGAGAGGGTTTCGTACGATGTTAAAAAAAATCTTGGACAAGACCATCGACCAATCTGCGTTCTTACGAACGGTCTACGAACGGTTTACGAGCGCTTGTTTCGTACGGCCTCCTTAAGAAGATCTTACGAAATGGTCTAAAAATCGTTCGTACGGCGTTCGTAGCAGCCCGTAAGGGTATTTGTGACCAAGGCATTAACGCCTTCTTCAGTCGGTCATGATGGAATATGATTTTTTTTTCTCCTTTACGACAATGATTTATATGCTCTCAGATGCTTTATTATCAATGTATTTACATTTCGTATCTGCCCGAATGCCTACACCCAATTCTTCGAGTTGCTTAAATATTTATTTTAAATGACACTAAAGTTTGGATTCAATAGAGATAGAGATTAAACCTCAATAATTATGAGAAGGATTTCCTTAAATTGATTCGATAACATTGTTGAAGGTTGATGAAAAAATTGCTTAATTTTTGTATAACATGTTACTTACTTAATTCCTTTTACTGTACTAACTCTCTGACATGCAAAAAATCCTGAGAAAATTCTCAAACCAGGAAGATATCTATGGTTTCCTTTGAAGGCGTCAATGTACGACACCCTCTAACAGTGATTAACAGTAAATTCTCCCAACCATTTTTGAATTTTCCTAAAAGAAACAGGCTATAACAAAATCTGTCAACACTTAAGTGTTTGGAATTAAATGTAGTGCCACTTTATTGCTTTGTGATGATTTACATTCACCTAAAATGTAATTAAATTGTAATACTATAGTTGGGAAAATTAAGGAATCGATCAGATCAGTTTTTCCCCATTTGTACCATGAATAATGATTCGTTTTCACTCAAATTTTCAGATTATCTTTAATTGTACATCTAGCATTAAAGTCACTACCTAAGCACCACTATCTCTCATCTGAACAATGTAACCAAGTCCCTTTAAGGGATTTTTTTTTTGTATTGCTTTATTTCATATAGATTGCCCTATTGACAACCAGGCATCCGTTGAGTCTCAAGAAAATGCTAACTCTCGGACCAGACGTGGGTTTAAATTGATCATGACGAAAGGTATTTTGTGCACTATCTTCATATTCATTGTGGCCTCTATTGAAGAAGTGTCGTAATGACTGGTTTAATCACTTGGTTGGAAATGCAAAGGTCGAGGGTTCGAGCCTCGGCACGCTAGCTGATATATTTATCTTTGAGCAAGGCATTTGTTTATACATTGCTTCTCTCTACCCAGGTGCTAAATGTGCACCTGGTAGGAAGCGAACGTCATTGTGGTTGGATTAGCATGTGCACACCCAGAATAGAAACCGTTTCGATCACCTATATTAGTGCCCTTTTGTGAGGCATTAGTCCTCATTTCTGTCAGTTATGACTTAAGGACGTAGGTACCCTAGTTGATTAGCATAGTATAGCAGACAAATGTTTAAGCAGTCACGCAAAACAAACACTCGCAAATTATTTTTCAATAAAATCTGAGAACGTATACTATTATTTAGATCTATTAGGAATAAATCATTGTCAAAATCATTCCATAAATCGGGGTAAGAAATAATTATTCCACCTTTATGACCAAAAGTGTAGTAAATGAAGATTTTCTAAGCATGATGTGATGCCTTTTAGCATGAAATGGGTGCAACCCTTTTCTTGATATTGTGACGTACCAGTTGAAGTTGTACATGTATTATGCACCAATCTTTAGTTGGAAAGACTTAAATACAGCGGTTACTAAAATACTAAAATATAGCAGTTGACAAATGTGTTTTATTTATGAGAAATGTTCACCCCATTTATGCAATTTGCGTTTTGGCAATTGTTGTACAAAGTATAATAGCAAGTCAATGAAATGCTTCATCACTACACACACCTGGGAAGCAAGCATCCATTAATTTGAATAAATTTACTTGATGAACGACTTCACATTGTACATCACTTTATCAAGAACATAGCTATACCCATGTCGTGCTGAGAAACTTTTCATTACTTTTGATGTATGCCTCGTGGGTAATCATGTAGATTAATGGGCAAAAATATAATAAATATCTCAGCATAAGTAAAGTTATTTCTTGGGTGAGGTTTCCTTAAAGTGCTACAATAAGTTTAAAGGTACTATGTTCCATTTACAGGCCAAAGAAATGAAAAAGTTAAATTCCAACTGCATTTGAAAAATAATACTAATTTAGAACTTCCCTGAAAAAGGAGGGGCTTGAAAATGTCTTCAAGTGGGAAAATAACGACTATTAGTTGTCAAATCGACTTTAGGGCTATAGAGCCCAAAAGTAATAGTCTTGATTTTCAGACAATGTACCGAATGGTCATACGTTTTATGCTGTGCAAAGATTCAATCAGTTTAATCTTGGCCATCACAAGAAGTGGGTTATTGATGTAGACAAATGCTCATGTACCCTTTACAACTCTTTTCATGTGTGTTATTACCAAAGAAGAAAAAAGCCAGTCAGACACTCTATAGTGTCTGACAGTGAAGTCTAGCAAGTAAACGGGTTTCCTTGCATAATTTGAATATGAGGACACTGCTAACGTTTAAATTTCACAGATAGGACATACGTGACATATTCATAATTCCTGCAAAGTTCCACAGAATTTGAGGTTAGCTGCAAAAGGGACATAGTACCTTTAATAAGCAAGATAAATCGTAACGTACACATGTTCAGTCAACCAAAGCAAACTAATCCCATGGGACTTTTAGATTTGCGTGGACTGATACGTGTGACGTCTATTCAAGGCAGTGCATTAAAAGGACGTCGATAGTAGCAATCTTCGTGCAAATCTAAAGGTACCTATTAATGATTTGACATTGTCGACATGGTTCATACTCTAATTCATTCATAAGTAAACAAAAAAAAAAAAAAAAAAACTTTTCCAATTAGGTCTTTGCTGTTCTTTTTAATTGTTGTATGACTAATAAATACATCAACAAATATTTGTTTTAAACAACCCTGCCCCCCCCCCTCTCCCGCACATCATAAAGTCACAATATCGCTAAGGATTGTATTTACAAATCTAATTTCTCAGATGTTTCCAATTCTCTGAGATGTCAAATAAACTAATTGTTAAGATATTTTTTACAAATTTTAGTTGATTAGTTGCAGTGTTAACAAAAAGGCCTGGAATAATGATGGATTGAGAGATTCGTAATGGCAGATTAGTTGCAGTGTTAAGAAATAATCGTAAATCATATCTGTTTGATTCGACATATAATTAATTTGCCCTTATAATTGTGTATTATCATTATTATTATTCATTATTATTATTATTATTATTATTATAATCATCATCATTATCTATTTGTTAAATTACTTCTTTAGATTGTGTTTGCTGGGTATTCGGTTGCAAGAAACAGAAGGATAGAACTCACAATAATGGTGAAAACAACCACTGAGTAAGTATTTACGTTCCGTCTGTTGATTGATCCGTCTTCTTTTGCATCTAAATTGACAAATCAAGGTTTGAGAACCCATGTCGTGCTGAGAAACTGTACATTATGTTAAGAATAACTTGCTTCATAACATCTCTCATACACTTGTAGATTATCGGCAAGAATATAACTAAAGTTATTTCTTGGGGTGAGGTTTCCATTAAAGATTAGAGTGTAATAGTTTCTCTATATTTCTATTGCAGAAGCTTTAATCCCTCATCCCCAATAAAAAAAAACGGAGCAAAAAGATGAAATAATTGTCATTATTTAAATCAACGATGGCTCTGGTTTCCTGTATTTTTTCAGACGAGGTAGAGACTGAGTTGGAGGACCTTAGAGAGAAGCTGACAAGTTATAGACCAGGAAAGACCACGGGAATAGCAGGTGTAGACATACCTGACTCGTCGATCCATATTGGACTTTTCGGTGTCACGGGTGCAGGGAATTCATCCTTAATCAATTCACTGCACTTCGCTCTTAGGAGTAAGTAAACTCATAGCTAACCCAGCATCGCAAAACAAACCACAAGTCGTAAGAAATATTTGTGTATACTTTAAATATGATTCTAAAAAAAGACTTATTGTTAGCTTTAGAACTATATAAAACTCATCACATTTGGATGTTTTTCTAACCCAAATAAAAAAGGAGAAGAATATCCAATTCCAAGGAATGTTACTATGGAGAAGAAAAAAAGGTTTGTAGTTTAATCTGACTCCAAAGGCATTCTGTAAGGGGATAAAAGGAAGATAAGAACTGAATAGGTGAAGGAATTATAAGATTGCCCTGTAATTTGGCATACAAAATGAGCACCTCCTAATTTGTATTCTCACCATGTTTCAATGCAAAGTCTTACTCTGCTTTAAATTTATAGTTGATCAAAATGAGACCGGAAGTCAGGGTCATAGAGAGTTTAATACTACATCCAACTCAAGATGGACACGTATAGGTCTACTTTAAAATTGATTAAGATTTGAAGTTACATAAAAGAAAGTTTACTATATCAAGAAATAATAATGACTAAAAATATTACCATCCAGACCAAAAACACCTTGAGTGAGGTCCACCTGAAAATCACAATGCGACTTTTCGGTGGAGTACCCCTATTGCATATATCCTTCACTTTATTTCAAATGGTTATTGAACAAATGTCGACAGGACATAACTATACCGTATCGTACTGTACCGTAGGATTTCCTGATGTTACGGTAGAATGCATCTACGTTAAGCCACGTAGATAAGATGTTATTTTTTATTCTACAAATCTGGCTTCCTATAGAATATTCATGCGTGATACATGAATATATAGCAAAAAGATTTTTAATAAAGTTAATAGACTAGCACATGGTAAAAATTATCCCAAATATTCACATGTCTTTTGTGCATTTTAGAATAATTTCTGATATAGTGATGGAGATGTTTCATGAATACGTTTCGTTTGCACCCTTGAGAAGAATACTTCCACCTGTGTATGATAGAATTTACGTTTTTAAATTATAGTGACTTGGTAACATTGTTGAAGGTTGATGAAAAAACTGCGTAATTTGAGTATGAAATGTTACTTATTATATTCCTTTACGTACTTACCCTCTTACATGCTAAAAATCCTGAAAAAGTTATAAAACCACAAAGATTTGAATGGCTTTCTTTGAAAGCGTCACTGTGCGAGACTCTTTTAAAGTAATTTCTCCCAAACATTTTTCCATGAAAATAAGACATAAAACAGGCTTTGAAAAAATCTTTTAACACTTAAATTTTTGGAATGTTACATAGGGCCAACTCATTGCTTTATTATGATTTTCATTCACCTAAAATATACTTAAATTGTAATAATAAAGTAGGGAGATCAGTTTTTCCCAATTTGTATCATCAATAAAGGTCTGTTTTCAGTCAAACTTTATGATCATCTTATATTTTACATCTACCATTGAAGTCACTACCTTACCACCATATTCTCTCATCTGAACAATGTCACCAAGTCCCTTTAGTGGGTGCGGGTGTCGTTTATAGGGCACATTTTCCTCACCCAATGCCTGTTGCAACCCTCTCCCACCACCCTGCTCTCACTAGAAATCTGTATTCTTGTTTGATTATTTCTGTGGAGTGGAGTACAACCGATTGAAAGTTGATTAATCTCTAATTATAATTTGTTATAATTCAGAACGATTATCTGATTTCCTTGTTTACTCCACATCTTTCTACATTAGATGAGTACAAGGATGTCGCCATCGAAGCTGATGATACATCAGCTGGTAGTCAAACAAAGTTCAGGGAGACGGTAGAGCTAACAGAACACATACACATCGTTGACAATCGAGGAATGAAGGACTTCAAAAAGAAACAGATTGAGGAAGACTTGATGCCTCAGATTCGTGAGTAAACGCTTCGTATTCATTTTCTGTCGTGTATTTCGTGAGTGATGACTTTGACATGCGTACATCTATACACAGATACTATTGCTTTATCTTGAATGATTTTTCGTTTGATACATTATATGTCGTAGTCGAGTCACTTGACTGGGATTACAAAGGTAGGTTCCTCATGGGTTAAAGCCCCGTCCTTGAGCAAGACATTTTATCTACATTGCTCCTTTCCTCCCATGTGTCAAATGATTACCCAGGAGGTTGCAAACGTCTCTTCGGTTGGATTAGCATATGCGCGCCCGTAAAAAAACAATAAGCCATTTCGCAATTAGCCAATGGAGTCGTATGACGTCAACGTGTCATAGGTCAAATAAACATATCTCCAAAGCTTACTTGCCCGTTCACTCGCACGCTCTGCGCAATGTACAAATGGCTACGTGAAGAATTGTGCGTGCGTTCGTCCTGTACTGTTTAGTGTATCTTTTTTCAACTGCTTGTCGTGCTTTTTATCTTCTTTTTCATCGAAAGTCCCTACAAGAGTTGTTGAAATGGATTGGGGAGGCTTCTTCGATATAAGATATAGGTTTGTGGACCGTCAAATCATCAAATCTCTCATAAAGGGGGACTCGGATCACGAGGAGTATATTCCTCGTGGTTTAAATCCTATGGTAAATTTAAACGCGCGCTTTGGAAGGTAGGAAATGTTTTTTTCAGAGTAGAAAGTGTCCACGGATCCAAGTCCCTGGGAACGGGGATCACGATAATGCTGATAACCAATGATCAGATTCCAAGTAAAGTTTACTATAAAGAACCGATTCCGACGTTCAGAAATTATTTTCGGTGACTGATGTGATCATTTACAACGAAAACGCCATCACACAAACAAATCACAGCTCCTCTCTCAGCTCTCTTTATGTTCAATTGACCGCAGTATTAGCTGGAGTGCTCCCCTGGCGAATGTGCATTGTAATGTGCAGAATCGTAATTGAATCCAATGACCGGGGTAATATTAACATTGTCAGCGCCTTAATCAGTTGATAGTAAAGCGCTATATAAGAAGCCAGAAGCAGAGGTGTCGCAGGTTGAGGTGTCGTAGTCGAGCATTTGACTGGAAATTCAAAGGTCCTGCGTTCGATCTCTGACACAGCACTAATGTCCTATGACAAGGCATTAATTTAAATTTGCCACTTTAGGAGAGAAATATGTACCTGGTAGTATAACAAAAGTCTTTGTGGTACGTATTGCTATATGACCTTACGGTGACCATATCGTAGGAATACTCTCCAGGGAGTGTAGATGGTGCACATTGTGCCTTAATGAATCCTGTGACCGAGGGAATAATATCTATAAAGCGCTTAGAGACGGCATTTCGTAGTTAAACGCTATATAATTCCAGATTATTATTGTTATTATTATTTCGCTCACTGTACTGTAATATCATGGTAGGAGTTTTCAAAAATAAATTCATCACGATGGGAAATGAATTGAATTGTATTTGTGTACAAATGAGTTATCTTGGCCTGTTATTACTTTCACTTTTCTAATATACATTTTACTCTGTCATCATTCTGTTTGTTTTCCCATCCAGGGGGGAACGAGGACTTGAACCTAAGAAAAGGGTTAAGAAAGGAACTGGAAAACATATTCACTGCCCTGTGTTTGTATGCAATCCAAGGTAACAAACGGGAATATTTTATTTACAACTTGACTTTCAATTTGTAGATGATAAATTTGTTTACACTAGTAGCAGGGAGGCCTTGAATAAGATCCTGGTTACAGAAACGTTATCAAGAAGCAACTATATTACACAAAATGTAAATTACCTCTCACAATAAAATAGATATAAATGTCACGAATGTTAACACTTCTGAAGTTCGGAAAGTTTGTGTGTGTGCACGTCGGTAGTCATGGTATTAGTTTAGTAGTAGAAGTATTATACTATTAGTAGGAGTAGTAGGAGTAGTAACAGCAGCAGCACTAATAGTAGTAGTGTTGTAGTAATAGTCGTGGAAGTAGTAGCCGTGGTAGTAGTAAGAGTAAACTAAGTAATAGTAATAGTATAAGTAGTAGTATAGTAGTAAGAGTAACATAAGTAGTAGAAATAGTATTAGTAGTAGTGGTAGCAGTAGTTGTAGCAGTAGTGATAGCAGTAATATAATTATAAGTTGTAATAGTTATGATTATTATAAGAATAGCAATACAATTTATTATAGAAGTGTGTCATCGCTGTTATTTCTGGTTTTAATAATCAAGTATCATTTAAACAATGGGTGATTCATTATGTAAAGCAATGTGATTTAACCCTATGTTGTCGTTATATAATGTAATTTATTTTTTCCTGTTTTCTTTTTTGTATCTATACAGTCAACCAATTAAACATGATGATACGCTGGACTTTATCCGACAATTTTCTGACAAAGTTAATGATCACTTTGGTAAGTTATAATCATCTTGATCAGGAGACATTTCTTGATATTATAAACTTCAGAGCAGTAATATTGCTAGTCTGACAAATTTGAGATTTAATTGTTACTCGAAATGCTTGTAGATGCGTCGACTTCAAGCATTCACTGGAGTATTCCGCGCGTTTAGAGGGCATGTTAAGAGAGATAGAGCAATGAAAAGGACTAGCAGGCTACCGTGATTAAAGGCTACTTTATCCAAGAATATTGCATCATCCCTGTGCAATTTATGTACTATTAGACGCATGTTTTAACCCCCCTTCTTCCAGTCAATTTAAAATATATCTTTATTTATTCCCAACCAACCACCCTTATGGAATTGAGTCACACATATTTGAAGACAAACAAAAATTGTTTTGTGTGTTGGGACAAATACCTAGCAAAGGTTCAAGAAGAAACAATTTGTAGTGTTTACGAGCAGTTCAAGAAAAAAGTATTATGTTCACAACGTATGCGAAATGTTGACTTTTCAATTTTTGGTAAACAAGCAGATCCAAAATGCCACGTAATCTGCAACGGTCGCGGGCTTTTACACCAGGGGTCAAAGTGACCCCTTAGTCAAATAAGGGCTAAGGCTAGAGAGAAACAAAAGCAATATATTTGTTTTTACAATATATATTAATCATATGTGATGTAGGTAATCATATGTTTCAAGTCTTGAATGATTATCTTGATATCTGTTGGCTAATATTTTCAATATTTCCCCATACTACAAGGATTCAAAATAAATCAAGATAGGAAATTAGAAACCCATTTAATTCATTACTTCTTAAAAAAGTGTTATGTATGTCTCGTTTTTACAGGTCGTAACGCAATGGTTGTCGTCACTCATAAAGGGAAACTGGATGACTCTGCAGAAGCAGATGGAAGCTTGGATGATGTAGTGTTTAAGATTAAAGATCGAGGTAGTGTTCCTAAGAATTACATATATACATTTGAAAACTATACTGAAGATTGCCACGTTCACGATGCAAAGAAAAGTATTGAATACTTGAAGTTTCTGTCCGCGTGCTTGGACTTAGGAGAAAGGAATATCAGATTTAAGTTGGAAAAAGCAGGTGAGCGTAATTGAAAGGTCAATCACTTTTAGACTGCATGTTCTAATAACGGAAGGTCCAAACACAATTCGTTTAAGGATCGCAGATGTATGCAGATTGCACACTATATTTGGAGTATAGATCATTAATAAGATATCAAGCATTATTTTCAATTTCGGAGGACAGATCAACGTGAAGAATAAGCTTGATTATAAGTATTATTATACTTTTTATCTTCACCATTATTATTGTGATTATTAGTTTTATTATAGTTATCATAATTGTTTATCATTGTAACATCAGTGTCTGTTTTTTTTTTTTTTATTGTGGCAGTAGTAGTAATAGTACTAGTAGTATGCGTCATTCTGCGAGATATTTACCTTTACTAAACGGTGGGAAATATCTTTTTAAAGCTTTTTTTTTTCAATGTCGGATTGCCATGCCTGTTCGTTTTTTGTATCATTATTATTTCAATGTCATATTTCATTTGCACATTGTTTCAAGGATAAACAAATGGAAGAATATACATAAATAAACAATTTAATTAATATAGAATTTCCCGGCGAAATTCGCGAGTTTGTCATTCGAATTCATTTACTTTACAATTAGGTTAGCGCAGATCGGCTTTGCCATGCCAATTATCCTTCAATTTTTCACGTGTTTGTATTTAATTTAGGATTTGGGTCGAAGGTTTTCATGGATCTGTCATTTAATTTAGAAACTGCTCAACTAGCATTCAAATTAATCGTCACTTGTCGAGGCGTCATTTTTATCATTTAAATTGACACCTGTCATTCGTATTCGAAATATGTTTATTCAAGTTAGGAATGTTAAAATAATGCTATTTAAATGCATGATTTGCCATTGGGGTCTATTCTGTTTTCCATTTGTTCATGTTCAAGACAATGCATATAGGTGTAGTCAGACATTAAGTAAACATGAACATTTACAAGCATATTGAGACCATCAAGTCCTTAGATGCAATTCGGTTTTTTTTTCTTAACAATCAAACTTAAATGCTGATAAATATCAAATAAATCTAATGAGTATAAGTGTATGAATGCAAGAAAATAAAATATGATGTAATAAACATGAACAAAACAATCTTGACAGAAAAAGAATGAGATATAAAAAGTGTGTAATAAACTAGATATGTATATTGGCCATCAATTTAATGCTACAAATGAATTAGAATGGTAAAAGTACACCGTCGCGATGTCAAAAAATCGTGTTGGGTCAAATCGAATGACCAAATAGCGAAAGAAGCACATTGTTTATTAATTTGAATGAAACAGACATATATATATATATTAACGAAAACTTCATAGATTTGAAAACTAGAAAAATGAATATAAACCCGAAATACACCTGACAGCACTAAAACATTCGAATTTGAACGCAAGACAAATTAATTTTAATGACAAACTCGCAAATTTGGCCGGGAAATCCTATACGTTATCATTCATGTAAATAATGTGGTTATGCACATGGTATGTATATAGTAACATGGGCAATGATATCTTGGTTAACTATTCGGTAATCAAATAATGTTTAGATCATGAAATCACCTGTTAAATTATAAAATGTGCATGTTATCTTTTTTAATCATATTTGATCTTACCATTCGGCTGAATGCATATCCTATTTATAAAATACACTCTGAGAAGAAATTTTTGATTTTCCTGAATGTTTACATAGTCATGTAAAGTGTTCTGACTGATGATGGATCCAGGGGGCACGGGAGCACATTCCCCGGCTAATTCCAATGAGAAATATTGCAAGCATAACCAAAAAATGTGCCCCTCAACTGCTAATACACGTACTACTCCTACTCCAAAAAAGCGCACTCCCTCCCCTAAAAATGTAATTATTTTTTTTGGAGTTGATGTGTACTCCAAAGAAATGATTTTTTCTTTGCTTGTCAGAAAATTCAGAGGAGGAAGGAGCTTGTTTTCATAATTAGTTTGTTTATGAGAAAATATTCAGAAATGTTCCTATCTGCCCCAAATCCTGGATCCGCCATTACTGGTGCTATCTATAAGTCAGTTCGTAGATTATATCTTTTCCTGAGCATATAAAGGTAAGTTGTACAGAATTTCCTCCGCAATACAGCAAGCAATTATTTCTTAGTCTCAATTGTATACATTTACTGCATTAAACGTACCCTATTATGTATATTTCTCGTTTGGTAACATTTTAACTGGAATGACTTTGTAAAAAGGAAAGCATTTTTACTTGTATTTGCTGTTATCGTGTAAATGAATGAAATGAAAAGAAATAAAAATGAATTTGCTCTTTATAATATCAAGTAAAATGATTAAATATGATCATAATATGTCAAGCTGTAAATGTATATATGTATATAGATCCTCACAGAGGATTGGAGAATGGTGATTGTAAAAGAGGTTGTAAACATCAAAATGAATCGTTTTTTTGGCGCTTCTTACTCAAGACTGTGGTGCTTGGGCAAACAAAAAAATTATCACCTTTTTATGTTGCTTGAGGATGAATTTCGTAGATTGTGCCTGTCATTCTGAGATTAAAGATTCATGAATAGACTATATTGGTGTCATTAAAATGTTAAATCCAATATTCACGAACCCTCAAAGTGTAGATTAATAAGAAACGAAAAACAGATGTGTTATTAACTGAATTAATTGTACGTCAATACCTATCGCAGGGATTTAAAATAAATTACCTGTATATTCTTTTTAATTGTATATATATTGTGTTCTATCAAATCCATTAGAATGAGGAAATATCCTAGGTACTTCATGTTTTTCAGTTTCAGTTTTACAATCAGAAGAGGGCAATATCTTTTTTCCGAGCACATGCCCCCATATAAATCCTATAAGATACATTGCAAGTAAACATCAAGTAAATTTGTGCAAGACAAAATCATTTGAACTAAATGGACTGCAGTGTTAATACATGTGCATGTATACTGTATACAGCCTCAAATCAGAAAAACGGTCATGCCATATTTACCGTAACGTTTGTGCGTAGTGTTGTCATTGTTCAAATTGTACAAACCGTCTACTCCAGTTACAAAGGGAGTCTTGGGTTTTCCTGAACATCTTACATTTTGAAAGGGCAGGTGACCTCATAAAACGTTTCTAGTGCAAAATGCACAAATATTCGATCTCGAGTTGCAGATTATTTTACTAAAGCTAACGTTTCTTCCTGGTTCCTCAAATTCTTTCAGCACGTTTTGGGGTTAAGAAAAAGATGTGATTAGAATGTTAACATCAGTGCAACATGGAATACAACAGGAAAGCTGCGAGCACTAATGCGTCATTGGTGTATTTAAAACTGGAAGGCGAGTCAAAGAGCACATCAAAGCGAATTTGTTTGCATTATTAACAAAAAGCAATGATTGACTTTTGGTAAATTCCAAGCCTTACGGAATGTTATGTCTGGAGAATCTTCTATTTTAAATAAATATATTATTACAGATGATGACATTAAAAAAAATAATGACATAAAATGATAACTATATGCGGTTCTTTCACAACATAAAGGTTTTCCTGTCAACCACTCATCAAGTTACAAAATATTGAATTTGATATAGCTTTGTTACAGAATGGCCTAGAAGATAATTATTTAATAATTAAAGCTCCTTGAATTCAGTTAAGCTAATTATACTTTAACATTTTACCAACTTGATAGGAAACTCAACTGAAAGTATTTCATACTAAAATATAACTAGTGCCTTTTTGATAAAAAATCTCTTTAATACCGTTTTCTCCAAATTGAAATTTATCTGACATTGTATTTCCTTAACGTTTGGAAATAACCTTTTCATTTGGTTTGACAAACTACTACTACTACTAGGAATAATGATGATAATGATATTAATGATAATAATAATAATTATGATAACAATGACAATACTAACACTAACAATTAAGAAATAATCATATATATCTATATAAATATTTTCAAATGCAATTAAAAAACATTAAAACTGTTCCAAACCAATTGGATATTTGTGTTTTCTTTAGTTGGTCCACTTGTCGAATTTCTCTCCCATGATTACTTTGCTGTTTAGTGGGTTCTTACTTGCTTTTTTTCTTCCAGTATTTAACTTTTTTTCACTGATATTCTATTCGTTTTATTTCTATTTGATAGTAAGCAAATCAACCATTTTCAAAAGTGACATTTTAGCATCATTGTACTAAATATTTCTCTGATTGATAAATTATTATCATGAGTCGATCGAACTCTCTTTTTGACAATATTATAATTTTTATATTTGTCACTAACGCCAGAAAGACATCCACATTCGTTTTAATAGAGTTCCTTTTAATAATACAGTAAAGCAATACGATATTTTACCTTTGCTTAAACAGCATTAATAAATATTGTGCTACCATTGATAACTTAGCAAAATGAAAGTAGTACAATTGTTGGCAAATAATTTCATGATACCTCTTTTCACTAAGTGTTTATGAAAAATTGTACATCTTCTTAGAACTTTATTTATATATCTGAATACATATATAAACTTTATAAGATATAAGATCGTATCGTCACAATAATTTCAAGACAAATTCGTGTGCAAAAGTCTATATAATGTAATAGTGTATTATTATTAGTTTTATTAAAATGACAACATTATGCTTTAGCGAAATGTAAGAGTATGTTAAAGGTAATTATTTGCAACTTTGGCTGCCTTATACGAAGATGACTGTGTGCCCAGAAGAACACTGATTATGAGAAAAGTGAGCAATGACTTATAATGGCGAAATGGGAAAAATAACCGGTTAGTTTTACTCTGATTTCAGAAACTTTTAGATTTACACGACGAGAACGTGGACCGCCACGTGTGACATCCTTTTAAGGCAATGTGACGTCCTTTTAAGGCACTACCGGGCACGGCCCAGTGCCTTAACACGATGTCACACGCGGCAGTCCACGCTCTCGTTGTGTAAATCTAAAAGTCCCTAATGGCACAACTTCTGACGCATAGTCATTCTTCTAATTGGCTGCTTAGATCATGAGATGGCGCAATGTTATGTAGCACCAATGCAATTGATAGAGTTTGGCCAACCCGGTGCGAGTTGGGGACAATATGGCGAGTACTGTACACAACAAAAGAACCTACGCCATGTTGTGATCAACTCTCCGAACTTTCTTGTTTAGTTATTGGTTTAAATCAATGAGTGTGGATACGACTTTTTCGTATATGTTTCAGATATATTACGAGAAACATTATTGTTTAAAGTGGC